GCAAACTCGTCCCAAGTGAATCTCGTTCAAAGTGGTCAAAAACACAGCTGTCCGCTGTCAAGGTTCTAGCATCCGTTTTTTAAAATGCAAGCGGAATTTTATATATCGGAGAACTTGAAAAGAACTAATGGTCAGATCATTAGTAGTGATCACTACTTGACTTAACTCATGCTTTTAAAGAGAGAAATCGCGAAACAACTGGGATTGTTGTCAAACGAAAGAAGTCCTTTTGCACCAAGACAATTCGCGGTGTCCCAAGTCGTTGGCTAGCATTAGTAAATTGCAAAAATTACACCTGAAATTACTTTCGCACCGACTGAAATCAGCAGATTTGTTCACCAGCGAATACTAGCTGTACCTATTCACAGACCTCACAAACTGAGCTACGGAGATAGGCGTTTAACTCTGATAAAAATAGTTGTCACTAAAACTTAGGCATATTTTAATGCGAATTATTCTACAAGAAAGTATAGAAATATTAGAGGTGTATTACTCTTGAACGAAGTGATGTCTAAAGTCGAGTTTTGCCATAAAGTTGTTCTTTTTAATTTTAAAGACGAATTATTCTACAACAAAGGTGTAGAAACATTACAGTGTATTACACTTTAACGAAGTCTTGAATAAAGTCGAATTAAGCCAAAATGTTGTTCTATTATTGTTTATCTTACAGACTTATTAAACAATGTGTTAGCTATAGCTTTGTTTTAAAAATTCTATAATATAATCATAAATCAGTTTATTCGAATAATATTGTAAATTATATTACCCGCATGTCCAGTTTGGGTATATTAATTAAACAGTTTCAATTCAACACAGCAACTCAAAGAACATACCCTAAATGGAGTTAGTAATAGCAATACAAAATACTTTTGAGAACTCATTCATAGGCGAGTCACATATCTGACACTCGAAAATGAAAAAATGAGCTAATAAAACCATTTACGGCCAGTCAACACGATGTACGCATAAAAGAAATGTCCGAAAGTGTATGACGTTGCATGCAAATTTCCTTATTAAAAATTTTTCGAATCCGAATGGGATTTCCATAGCTGCCTAAATGTCTTATTCAACTTTAGTTATTCTTAAACGATTTCATAAGCTCTTCAGCATTTCAGATTTACATACAGGCAGGCAATGACACTATTCAACCAAATAAACTTCACTGGAAATTGGAATGGAAATGTAAAGGCGAAGCACTAAACTGAAAGCAATTTAGGCAAAAGAAATCGTTAGCAGCATATTTTTATGCAAAATAGTTGGAGTTTTCCTTAGCCAAAAAGGATATAACAGAAATGCTAATTTCATAGCCAAAGTCAGGACAAAAAACAAAAAAAAAGGAAAAAAATTATCCATTTTCGTTTCTGTATTTATTTTTACAGCATTGCCTTGTAGGATTTACTCATAGGATCGTAGGTGTTAAAGCTCTACAAATTGCGTTCACATTGCCAGCATTAAAATTTAACTGAAAGCGTGACGCAAATCTTCATACATTTTAAATTAACCGAAATTGCTGTCGAAAAGTATTTTTGCATAATTTTCCACATCATTTCCACGCGTGCCAGTTCCGAAATTATGCATATGCAAGCCGTAAAAATGTTGGAGCTCAAATGAGCTTCACACACAAGTTCTGTTGCTCTCATTAGGCACTAATTTAGGCGGAAATAGCAAGCAGAGCAGCTGAATCCTTGCCAGTTTTTGTTTTTAGTGAATACAGTTCAGTTCAGTTCCTTTCTTTTTTCTTTTTCTTCATCTTTTTCTTTATCTACCCCCACCCACTTTTACTCACTCCACCGCACAGATGTGGATGTCAGTCAGTCATTTAGTTGTGTACATGCATCGTTAATTCTTATGTTGAGCTCTTGGCGTATTTTGGCTTTATACGTGTTGACATGTTAAAAACTAACATTTCCGTATCCTTAACAGTGTATTAAAATGTATGTGTGTGTGTATGTATGTGTTACTGTTAACACGCATGTTAGTTTGTTATGAATGCGTCATTGTATATGCACAAAGGGAAGAGTAAAAGTTATTGAAAGTTTACCAACAGCAGCTACAAAATCCAAGTTAAGCCATGTCTTAAGTATGCTTTGGGCTTAGCCAGCCAAAACTGAATAAGAGCGAAGCGAGTACTCGTGTGAATGTGTGGTTTTGCACAAATAACATTTTTAAAATATCAAAAGTGTTAATGGGTATGGGAAGATATGAGAATCCAAGTTACACACACATCACTGCTCTTGTTTTTATCATTTTCGACAACTGTTATTAATGTTGTATTATTTATTCATTAATATGTCAGTCTTTAAATTAAAGTAAAAAACTGTTGCTCTGGATTTACCAACGGATTAAGACCTTTCTGCACAACAAAAAAAAAAACCAAATAAAAAATATGGATTTGTGGTTTACTTGCAGATTGGAAGAAAAAAAAATTGATTTAACTCTGGACAATGATAACATATTAATGTCGGTACGAAAATATGATAATGTGCTTATATACAAAAAATAAAATCATCATCAGAGTTAGTAGTTAATTTATTTCATATAAACCAGCGGTCCGTAATGCAATTCCCAGTGCTGCAGAGTGGAAAAATAGGATTATAATGGGTTTAAAATACAATATATAACTGCAGAATAAATCTTATTCCTTCTCACTGAATTTTCATTTTGGAAGGTGCCACTTGTTTATAAAAATTTAGTATATTTGAAACAAATAATATTCTATATATTTTGTCACTCAGTTAATGAATAATAATTATTAATTATTAATAATACTAATAATACTTATTAATAATAACAATATCGTTACTTAATAATACTTAATGATAATTTATAATATTAATATTAAAAAATATTAATTTTATTATTATTAAAAAATATTAATTATTATTAATAATGAATAATAATAATAATTAATAATTATTTAATTAATTGATTGACAATGACATCAATCAATTAATAGTTCTTAAGCTACAATATTAACTTAAATATAATGAATCTCAAACTGTATTATAAATTAATTTATTAATTAAAATTAATTAAATTAATAAAATTAATTAAATTAATTAAAATAAATTAATTAATCATTATTTTCATACATTTGGATGAATTCGTGATTATAAGTAGCAATAAGACCTGACTAGCTTACAACACTGAGGGCAAGATCAAGGCTGATGGGCATGGGAAGGAATAACACAGATGTCACAGTTTTTTATATTATATTTTATATTATTATATTATATTATGTTTTATATTATTATATTATATTATATTTTATATTATTATATTATATTATGTATACCTATAGTATTAATTAGTTTGTTGGCACACAACTATGCTCTTAGTTCAATAATTTACAATATTTTAATGTGTAAGTATTTTGTAATTTATTTATTCGTAGCAGAAATTAAAGAATAAAATTAGTTTTAAGATTAAAATGTAATATTGTTTATGAACTAAAATAAAAATACTATAGTATTATGCTATATTTTTATATACATAAATTGAAACAACAAATGAACTCATTACAAAAAAAAATGACTTCAAAAAAACGTGACACCAGCTTAGATTTTAGCAATCACTGGAACAGAAATTCATTTTCAAATCTGAAATTAATGTTTTTCGAAACTCCTTAATTATTTCTAAAACAATTTCTTCCATGTTCTATGGTTTTGTGAGTTTGGTTTTGAGTGATTTTTGAGCTTCACATCTTGTCAACAGTTGCAAACCCATATCAATTCATCATCTTATGATCAGGAAAAGTACCAGGTAATACGATATACAGAGACATCTCAGACGTCTAAATATTCATACAACATCTTTCAAATGTGGTAAAGCGACACTCTTCAGTAACAGACACAATTTCAGTAAGCTCTCTACTTTTAATTTGAACATTAATCAAATTAGTTCCTGCACTTTTTACATTTGTTCGTCAAAGGTGACCATTTCTCAGATCATTTCAGATCTCAAATGATGATGTTCGAAGTCAATCCCATCTCTGTTGTTTCATGACCCAATATTTAATATATACGAAAATTCAATCAAAACAAGTTAGTTGTATCTCTCTATTTTCATAAGCACGTATAGTCGTTCAATGAAAAAATTATTAAATTATTAAAAATATTTTCTCAGTAGGGACATAACTTGTATTATAAGGTATTGTACATAAAATCAAGGAAAACAAATTCCAAAGCTTTTTGGTTTGTAAATAATTCATTTATATTTCCGTTAGAAATTCATTACTTATTAGTTCTGAGTCTACAAATAAAATAATGAAGTCTAGTACAAATATCAAGTGCAATTTAACAGCACTTTTATTAAATGTTAATTATTTATATATAAAAAGAGAAATATATTAATTTATGTTTTGTTTCTTAAGAGTTTAATATATTCACGGCCTTATTCATAAAAAGTTATAGTAGGTTTGTAATCACGGTTGCCACTTGAAAATTTTTTTCTGTACCAAAATTGGTTTAAAAAGGTACCATTTCTGTAAAAAAAGGTCCAAAATTTTTTAGGACCTTTTTGTTTTCTCGTTCTGTATTTTTCATAGTGTTATAAATGAACAAAATATAAAATAGTGCAAAGTTGCATTTATAAAAAAAATTAATTGGAAATATCCACAATAAAGTTGGGTCGTCAAAAATGGACCATTTTTTGAAAGTGAGTACCAAACGAAAAAAAAAAAAGAAAAAAGTACCAATTTTGGTACTAAAGTACCATAAGTGGCAACCGTGTTTGTAATACATTTTATCAAAAATGTTATTCATAAACGTTATTTAACAGTGTTATAAAGCATTTATAAAACTCTATTCATAAACGTATTTTAAAGTTAAAATGCTGTTAAAATGCTGTTAAAATATGTCAAAATTTATAATAGGTTTATACCTTCTATAACAGCATTTTAAGCACAATTTTTGATTGTGTAGTAATTTTTATTGGGTGAATTACAATTAAATATGGATGCCATAAGCATAATTAAAGAAATTGGCGAATATTTAATTTAATTTAAAAATATATAAACAACGTGGAGATCCGTTTATGCTGCGTGATGATGAATTTCAACTGAGGTACCGATTTTCAAAAAAGGGCGTAGAAAAAATAACTGACTTGGTGAAACAGGACTTAACGTTTGATAGTAGAGGCGCTGGAACTTCCGCAAGATTACAAGTTCTAGTAGCTTTGCGATGTTGGAGTCGTAGAGAAGTAACTAATCTTTTTCAAATACTATTACTTACTAAAAGCTTTTAATATAAAAGGTACAAGACGATGCAGGTGATTTACACGGCCTTAGCCAGGCTACAGTCAGTCGCATTTGCGTTAGAGTAGCTAGGGCTCTTGCAAAACATGCCGCAACTGTGATTAAAATGCCAGAATCATTGATAGAAGAGGAAGCAAATATGAAAAGCTTCAAACGCATAAAAAATTTTCCAAATGTGATTGTAGTGTAGTCGCAAGATGGAGAGGTAGTACGCACGACTGCCGGATTTTCGATGAATCAATTCTTAAAGAACAATTAGAGGCAGGAAAATTCAAAGGGCGCTTGGTTGGCGAATCAGGATACAAACTTCAACCATAACTATTCACTCCAATACTGAAACCACAAAACGCAAAAGAAGAACGATACAATGCTGCACACATTGCCACCAGAAATACAATTGAAAGATGCTTTGGTGTGTGGAAGCAAAGATTTCGTTGTCTTCTAGATGGGTTGAATATATCATTGGAGAATGCGAAAACAGTTATAGTCGCACTTGCAGTATTGCACAATCTTGCAGTTACTTACAATGAAAATGACTCCAAAATACCTTATAATGACAATTTTTCTGCGGCGATCAACTTTATTTCCTTATCTGACTGTGAAGAAATATGTGATGATAATTCAACAAATCGAAAGAAACCTAATGTTATATTAAAAACATTTATTGAAAAAAACTTTTAATTAAATTGCAAATTAAATAACGATTTATTAATCTTAAAAAATTTTTTAAATTTTTATTTTTGTGCTGCATTAATTCATATTTCTCACAGTGTTGTAAAATGTTTTGTGTTTAACAGTAATGTTATTAACATTTGTATCATAGTTATCAAAGGTTTATAATACGTTTATGAATAATGTGCATTATAAGGCCATTATAAAGTTAAAATACATTTTAACTAAAATGTATTTAAAAAGCATTTTAAGAAATTTTTATGAATAAGGCCGTCAGACTATAACTAGAGGAGTGGTTTTTTTTTCAAGTTTTTGTATTTATCACCGTTAATAAAATTATTTAATTCAATTTCATATTAGTAACAAAATTTATTATTGTTTATATTATTTATTGTTTTTAGATCACATGGAGCACTATGCTAGTTATGTTAAATGCTGTTTTAGCCAAATAATTCCTTCAGTATGAAGATCTTTCGAAAAATAGATCCGAGTATTTTCTAAAAATCTATTTAGGCAATTAATTGAAACACATCAATTTTAGAAAAAGCAGTCATTCTGAGAACTTTGATTACAAAGAACTTGTGAAAATTTTAATACAATTCGCCTAACAGGAATGGATTAGTTTGTTTAATACAAAATAAATATTTAAAAATATGTATTCCTATTAAAATTACTTTAAAATCCAATTTTGTTAGAAAATAGTTATAAAATTATTGAATATGTAATATTTATTTTAATTACATTGGCAACCCCTTTTGAATCAACACTTTTTCTCTGTAATTTATTTTTAGTCAATAAACACACTTTATCTTAACAAAAATATTATTACTTTCACTTGCAATCCACTTAAACACTCTTGTTTATTACAATTCATTATGGATGAATGCTCCCTCTTGCATTGTTTCTCTAATATATTCGACTAATGGCTTTAGTTTTGGAATTTTGAGTGCTCAAGCTTCATAAACCCATTTCAACTGTCTTTAATATACGATTCTTCGACCTTTCTCTTGCACTTCAGCTCATCTATTCCTTTCTAACTTTTAATTCCTTTAAAGTTTACTATCTGTCAGCGATAAAGGATTGGCAACTCCACAAAATCTTTTAATGAAAATAATAATTAAAAGTTAATTTATAGGTAAAATAATTTTATTAGTGAATCATATTTAGACAATGAATACTTTTTGTGATCTTCTTGATCTGCTTTGAATGCTGTATATTTACCGGTTGTGTAAATAATAATTAGTGCATAATTAGTGCATAATTAGTGTACACAAGTTGAGTACACTAATACGTATTAGTGCACGATTAGAACACTAGTTGTGTACACTACTGAGTATACTAATTGGTATAAGTTAGTGCATTTAATGTGCGCTGATTGTGATATAGCTAATGTATTTTTTAAACATTTACAAACACTAAGACAATGTTTTTACTCAATAATTTTTTACTAGCACTGCTAAAAGAAAGTAATATTTTGGTGCTATTACTACTTGAGTACATTGCATACATTGCATTACTTAATCTTTAAAGCTCCCAACTTCAACATAGTGATACCATGTTAAGTCTTAATAAATATACCAGAGTCAACCAAAGTATGAGAGAAGAAAGCTTTGCAACATATATGACCCAGTGCTACTAAATTTTGAGTTTTGCAAAATCTGTACAATACTGAAAGTAATAATATACATTTAGTTTTAGAACTTGAGATGACAAAATATTTAATGAAAGTATCTTAAAAAAAGTAAATTAAAATAAAATAAATAATACGTGCATCAATATCTACGATTGCCTAAAACAAATGAGTCGATAATTTAGTAAAAGACTTTAATAAAATACCAGACTCAGAAATCAAGGATGCATAAAAGAAGATTGAAAAGACTAAGAACTAAGAAATCAGGGATGCCTTAAAAAGGATGAGTCCATAATTTATTAAGAGACTTTAACATAACACGAAACTTATCAAACACGAGAATTAGCGATTAGAAATCTAACATTCGGTGACGGTTATGAAAGTTACTTATTACTGCACAAGCTTAATATGGAACCATCTAAATGCAGAAAGGTATAAAAAAAATATAAATAATATTTCATAGGCTGAGTTTTAAAGTATAGTACAAATATATGATTCTAATATTATAAAAGATAAAATAAGAAAATATATAAAATAAAATAAAATGAGAACTGGTCATGATTTCGTTCTAATATAAAATATTAATAGAGTCTGGGAATGAACTTCTACAGTTAATCCAGTTAAACTCCAAGTTAGAATAATATAAGTTAATTTGAACAAACAAATTAACAAAACTCAAAGTTAGAACAAAAGAAGTCAAGTATAGCTTTGGATCAGTTGACAAGGTACTAATTCTATCCTTGTTTTACATTGTTTGTAAGTATTAAAATATAAGAAATATAACAAAAGACGCCACTGATGATGGGTACTTGGCAAAATTCGAAACAGATATATAGTCAGTCAAAAATTCAATTTTTTTAGGTAAAAAAAATGACAGACTTACTAACACCGCATTATCCAATCTCAGGTTACAGGCTCCACGGAGAGGTATGCAAATCTAAACATTAATGATAAACATTAATCCAGTCAAGGCGTAAAGAGGGGTTTTGAACATAGCTTGAGTTAATAAAGAGTAAAAGTGCTCAAGTACACTGGCTCAAATAGCTTCGACATAAAAAAAATTTCTGTAGATTATTTTTATAATTATTTCTAAATATTATAATATATTAATATTTGATAGTTTTTTATTTTCTATACTTAAAAATGATTCCTTCTCAATAACTCTACTGTAGACAAAAATAAATTATAATTAATATATTTTTGTAAACGTTTTTCTATTTCTAAGTAGTTATTTACAACAAATTATAATTAATAACATTAACTCATTTTAACAATGATTCAAACTAAATTCAACTAAATAAATTAAAGCGGATCTAACTTAATATAAAATCAAACAATAAAAATTCTTTACAAAAATAAAATCACTAAAAATCGACATTTAGTCACAAATGCAAAATCACATGGAAACAAACTAATTTGTGTGGTTTCAAATCAAATATTAACCACAAAATGCAAATAAACAAGTTAATGCAATATACACACACATACACACACAACTTGCAAACAAATATTATCACGACATATTCGCTTTGTTAGAAGCAATTGAATTTTATATTTGCATATACATTGTGACCG